AGGACTCGATGGCACATAACAACAACAACAAAATACCACCTTGAGTCTATCCCAACTGAATTTAAAAACTATGTCAAGAACAGATTTGATGCATTGAATTTTAATGACTGAAGGCCAGATGAGTTCTGGTTTGAAATCCCGGATATCATCCATGAAGAAAGCAAAAGGACATTACAAAGACAGGAAAGAAAGACAAGACCAAAATGAATGTAAGAAGAGACTTTGAAAGTTGCTCTGAAATGTAGCCAAAGGGAAGAAGTGCTGATGAAGAGAGATAAACAAAAGAATTCAAAGGGTAGCTTGAGAAGACAAACAAGGTATTTTGAAGAAATGTGCAAAGTGCCGGAGTTAGAAAACCAAAAGATAAGAACATACTTAGAATTTCTCAAGCTAAAAGAACTGAAGAACAGATTCAACCCTGGCATTGCAATACTGAAGGATTCTATGGGCGAAATATTAAATAATGTAGGAAGCCTTTAAAAAAGGTGGAAAGAATACATAGAGTCACTGTACCAAAAAGAATTGGTGGACACTAAACCATTTCAGAGAGCACCTTATGGTCAAAGGACCAATGGTAAAGGAAGAAATTCAAGCTGCACTGAAAGCAATAGGAAAAATAAGCCCCCAAGACATCTTTCAACAAATAGATGCAGCCCTGGATGTACTCATCAGTTTATGCCAAGAAATTTGGAAGACAAGTACTTGGTGAACTGATAGGAAGAGAACCATGTTTCTTCTAAAAAAAAAAAAAAAAGTGAACAGACTGTGGGCAAAGCCAAACAATAGCATCAATATCACATGCAGGTAAAATCTTTCTGTAGATCATTCACAAATTTCTGTAAACAAATGGAGTTATTTTCAAATGTAAGCAGATTTCCGTACTGTATTGCTGAAGATGAGATGGGCAGTTATGAGCTATGTCCCAGGGCTGAAGGGATGCACTTAACTGTCTCCCGTGCTGCATTTCTGGTCTGGCTTCTCAGGCTATCTTTTGTCTGTACCATGTGATAGTGTTATAGGTTCATCAGATTCCAAGAATTGGGTTTACATTTCTATCTATTTTTTATAAATTTAAAGTTTATGAAAATAGGACTTAACTGGGTTCCTGTGGAGCTTGATTTTATGTTTAGGAAGCAAAATAAACCTCTTGACTTGTAATTTGCATGCCTATATCTTTCAGGAGATTAAGTGAGAGAGAAAGGATTGGAGAATTGGGAGCTCCTGAAGTATGGGGACTTTCTCCAAAAAATCCTGAACCAGAGTAAGTGGTTAAAAATATTTTAAAATACGTTTAGTATTTGCTTATGTCTGGAATCTATTGTCAGAGTTCCTGTTAACTAATTGTAAAATTTTAAATGGGTCTTTTTTTAGTTTTTTCCTATCATATTCTAAATTTTAAAAACATGAGACATAACTATAGGTTGAAACATGTTACTAGTGGATTTTAGAAAGCTTCTCTCTTTAAATTGTAATTCAAGGGGATGTTTCCTATTCATAGTGTTCAGTGTTAAAATTAAATAGTATATTGATAATAATTTTCCTAACTTAACCCAGTTAGCAGATTGCATGTCAGATACTGATATTCTTTTAAAATTAATGTACAAACTATTTTTAAATTCTATTTCTGTCTGAAGTCTTTTCTTCTTAATTCTTTTCTCTTTTATGCTATTCATAAGTTTCTTGTTTCCTCTATTCTGTTTCTTTATTTACTTTAGATTGAGTTGAAGCAATGTTCTTGTTAGGTAGACTTGTAGTTTGTGACAAGGTGATAAAACATTCTTTTAAATGTCTTACCATAGAAACCTTGTAAAAATTCTCTAAGAACCTGAACTGATAGGATTAAAGTTGGAAGGAACTCTAAAAATAACTTTCTACATAATACTTAAATTACTTCAGATGTAGTCTTTAAATGAAGAAATTTCTTCAGAGGAAGAAACAGCCTTTCTAAACTATTGTAGATTCTGAGGGAGGGGGCCTGTTGAGGCACTTTATTTTTAAGGATGTATTACAATCCTAGGGAGCTCTAGTGGCCTAGTGGCAATAAGCTGCCTTGTAGTCCCGAAGGGCCCCAGCTGCTCTGTGGGAGGATGAGCCGTCTCCTCCCGTGTGATTAACTGCCTCTGAAAACCCATGGGAGAATCAGCTATGGGTTGGTTCCTACTCTGTGGTACACAACAACAACATTACAATCCTATAGAAGGAACCCCAGAATTTTCCCTCTGGTGTGTTTTTGCCTAGCTTCCTCATGGTCCATGATTCTAGCTGAGGTCATGAGTGCAGTAAAACCAAACTGGTGAAATGGGAACAACTTATTCTACCACTTTTCTAGGTCTTTGAGTTGCAGGTCAAATCTGGGACTGATCACTCCACACTTCTCTAACGTACCTACAAGATTCATAAGAATTTTCTTTTCTTTTTTTTTTAACATAGTGATTTTCTATTTATTTTTAAATTGTGATGTAAGTGAAAGTTCATTTTCCTAGTTCTTTGATCATCAGTGATTTAAAATTCATCCATTTAACTGTGCTTTATCATCACTGTTAGGAATTGCACCCTGACCTGATAAGGACCAGGCATTTGCCTCTCAGAGATTGATGCTCTTAAGTTAGCCAAAAATGCATGGCATTATGGCAGCACAGAAAGAGCATTCTTGTAGAATTTTAATAATATTCATTCCTGGAATTTTCTAGAATATAATAGAATCTCTGTTTTTTTTTCAGATGGATTTTATTTTCTTTATTAAGATTTGGGTACATTAAATAAAATAACTTTTTTGGGAGGTGGAAAAACCAAAACCCACAATAGAAAAAAAAATTGCCTGGGCTACAGCAGAAACCAGAGAATAAAAGTTATATAATTGAAAAGTTATAGATGTTTCATAATTGACATTTTGATACCAGATGACCTATTAAATTTTCACTTTGTAGTTCTTGATGTTGAGGTCCATGGGACAAGCAAGAAAATCTTTGAGCTGAAATCCAAAAAGGGGTTATTTAGCTTTTCGTTCATTTTACCTTGTCTAAGAGGTAGCAGTAGCAACAGCACACACCTATAGAAAGATTCTAGGAAGCTGCCTAGAATCTCTTTATACTGTAGTTTGTTAGGTTTTTCTTGTTCTGAGTAAAACAGAACAATTTCTTCTTTACCATATGTCCTTTATGCCATAATGGTTACACATGGTTGACAATGTTTGTTAGAGCTCACGGATGAAGGCAGGCTTGGAAGCAGGAGTGGCGTCCACTTCCTAATCATGCCTGTGGAAACTCTATGAACTTAGAAGGAGGACAACAGTTCTTTTATTTATAGGGTTGGTACTAGATGGCATTTAACAACAACATATAACGCCAAAGCCTTTGCCTCCATTTTGGAGTTGGATGAAGGGGCTAGAGTCTTTAAGATGGTGCTTTTGTTTTGGTTGAGGATCCGTGTGGATTGTTTGGTTGTTTTTATTTAAGCCTCTTGTTTAGAGACAACAAGACCTCCTGAGGGGTCCCTTATATTTAGAAGTTGGGCCAGAAGGATTATATTTTAATCCCTTGTTACTATATTTTAATCCCTTGTTAATATATTTTGGAGGAACATTCTTCTAAGTCATAGAGCACTCCGGCCAATTTGGTGGGATGAGGTAATGTGGGTTTGCTCGATTTGATGGGAATAAACAACAACAGTATGTCCTTAGCTTACTTGGAATAAAATAAAGTCTTCCCAAATCCTTCTTATCTGTAGTTTCTTTCACCATTCTTGTAGTTCCTATTCCCCCATTTTAGCCATTAGGCTTTCTTGTTAAAATAGAAATCTTTCATGCTGTGTTCAGTATATGACTAGTGCTTTCTGAACTCTGCAACATTAAAGAAAAAGAAAGAAATTGTTATATTTTTATGAAAGCTGTAGAGCTAAGACTGTACTCTTACAAATGTCAGCACTTGAGAGGAGGCATGCCACAACGCCCAGGAGCAAGCATGTAAACGTGTCTGCTGGAAGCTTAGGTATGAGCACAAGTGATGCTTACTGCCCTGGCTCCTGGACATTCCAGATTTGGGGCAGTAATCTGTTTGGGCCTTTGACGACCCTGGGTCCTTGGCCACGGAGGCAGCTCCTTTGGCCATGGCCGTCAAAGCCCTAGGACCAGCTGTGAACCTGAGCTCCTACGGGGTCTTATGCAAGGGACTCTCCCTCATGCTGCGCGCCTTCTTTGACCTAGCTTGGCAGCTGCGCATGACTTCCCATACTTCTACATCGCAGGTTCCGTGATACTCAGCATTCACTTGCAAGTACACATATAGACCTGTGAGTAAACTGCTGTTATTCGGGACCACTGCCATGATAGACTCCAATACCACATGCCTTGCCGGGCAGTGGAGGCCTCGGTGACGAGCCCTGTGTTCTCGCGAGAGTGTCTCACAGGTTCGGCAGCCTTCGGCATGATGACGCAAACCCTAAGTAATCCGAAATGGAAAATACGTGATTCTCAGAACAGAAAGAATCTTAAAACACTCAGGAATGGCGAGCTCAGGTGGCCTAGTGGCAAGAAGCTGCAACTGCCAACTCAGAGATGCACGGTTTGAATCCACCAGATGCTCTGCTGGAGAAGGAGGAACAATCTCCTCCTGTACCAGTCAGATCCAATTTGACGGTACACACAAAAAATAATGAAATAAAACAAATTTAAAAAAACAACAACACAGGAATATTTATGAAGCATGCATCATTAAACCAAAAGCAGGCTGAACTTAAGGATTTGGACAAAGGCACAGATTAAAAAAGACCATCTAAATTTTTAAAAATTAACATAAACTCGTCAATAGAATCAGTAAATTTCAGGAATTTTGGATTGTGTTGTAAATAATACATCGAATGGTTAATAAATTGAAGATAGTAATAGAACACAGAACACATATATTTCTTCATCCTACAAGAGAAAACAGTGATGTTGTTGTTATGTGCCGTCGAGTCTCTTGCAACTCATAACGACCCTATGTACAAGAGCCCTAAACTCTGCTCTGCCCTGTGCCAATTGCACTGTCTCTGACACTCCCATCCTGATTGTCGCAGTCAGTGAATCAATCCACCTCATAGACGGCCTTCCCCTCCTGTGCTGTCCCTCCACCTTCCCAAGCATGATGTCCCTCTCCAAGGACCTGTCCCTCCTTACAACATTTCCAAAGTATGTTAGACGGAGCCTCAGAATCCTTGTCTCCAAGGAGCCACCCGGTTTAACCCTTTCCAGGATGAATCTGTTTGTTTTCCTAGCAGTCCATGGTACCCTCAATACTCTTCTCCAACACCAAAGCTCAAAGACATCAATTCTCCTTCTATCCTCCTTGGTCATTTTCCAACTCTCTGATGCATAGCAAGTGATTGCAAAGACCATGGCCGGTATCAGATGCACCTTAGTCTCCAGAGAGACACCATTGCTCTTCAGTTCTTTGGAGAGTTCCCTAACAGTGACATTAAGAAATTAAAAACGTCCAGAAAGACATCCACTAACGAAACAGAAAATACTGTAGGATTTTGAAAGTGGATTCTATGTCAGTGACTGAGCAGTAGGAGAATTAAGATCTTGGAGCCAAAGAGAAGAAGATGTGATCATAGATAAAGCTTATCTTTCCAGTTAACAATGTACAAATAATCATAATGTGAATGATGTTTATGGTTTTTATTTTCTAAGAGAATGTTTATTTGTGATTACAAAATAGGATGTATATGTTATTTAAGAATGTAAAGTACATTTGGCAAATGGGAGATGCAAGGGGTGAATGGGTTGGATGATGGTGCCCTTAAATAATGGGAAAGTGGAGAGATACTGAGTGTTGATGAAAATATTTTGTTATTTAAAGAAGGTTCCAGTAAAGGGAGAGAATAGGGGAGAATAGCATAAAGTTAATAATAGGAAATATCTAAGGAAAGTAAGTTTGAGTGAAAATTAATTTCTAAGTGAAAAATTTAAACAAAATACCTGAATATTTCAATATTTCATTTTTTTACTTTTCTCAAGAGTCAGTAAATGAATGAATTAGTGATCTATACATGAAAAATCTGAGGCAATTAGGAATCTGAGGAAAAAGTAAGATGTTTAAAAAGTACCCTGCATGCTTCAACTGTCATACCACAAGTCAGGTAAATATAGAGCCCTGATAGTGCAGTGGTTAAAGGCCTGCCAATTGAAAATCTGCAGCTCAAACTTACTGCCTCCCGAGAAGAGAATATGTGGCACTTTGCCTAGTCTTTTTTAAACACTACAGCCTGGGAGGCCCTGGGGGTATTCTACTGTCACAGATGCTTTTGGAATCTGCTCCACCAATAAAGGTTTAATTAAGTAAACACTGCTCGGCTCCACGGTCAACACTCTTGGCACCAGCAACCAGGAAATCAAAAAAGGTATTGCAATGGGAGAGTCTGCTGTTAGGGACCTCTCTAAAGTACTCAAGAGCAACAGTGTCTCATTGGAGACTAAGGTGCGCCTGATACAGGCCATGGTCTTTGCAATCACTTGTTATGCATGAGAGAGTTGGACAATGACGAAGGAGAACTGATGCCTTTGAGCTGTGGTGCTGGAGAAGAGTATTGAATGTACCATGGACTGCTAGGAAAACAAACACATTCATCCTGGAGAGGGTTAAACCAGGCTACTCCTTGGAGGCAAGGATTCTGAGGCTCTGTCTGACATACTTTGGACATGTTGCCAGGAGGGACGGGTCCTTGGAGAGGGACATCATGCTGGGCAGAGTGGAGGGACAGTGCAGGAGGGGAAGACCCTCTATGAGGTGGATTGATTCAGTGACTGGGGTAATCAGGATGGGTGTGTCAGAGGCAATGCGATTGGCACAGGGTAGAGCAGGGTTTAGGGCTGTTGTACATAGGGTAACTGTGAGTCGAAAACCACTCGATGGCACATTACAACAACAACAACAAACAACAATATAGAGAAATCAAGAAAGTATGATAACTGTTAAAAGCAGTAGCTATGAGTTTAAAGTGGTTTGAGAAGGGAAATCAGGGATAGGTAGAAAAAAGACAGAGAAATGCTGTTTTCATTATCGGTCTAACAGTGCTGTTTTGGGTGTGTCTTTTTTTAGACTATACCTGTGTGGGTTTTTTTCTTAAAAACTTAAATCTTCATTTCTCCCACATAATTCTTATCTATTTTGCTGGTTAGGAGTCACAATAGTAGATTGAGATTGCATTTTTAAATAAAACAGGCCTCTGTGAAAATACAAAAAAAAAAAAACAACCCCAAACAACCAAAAACCCCAAAAAATGTCAGCACTTATTTATAATGGTTCTTGGACAGTGTCATTACTGAAAAGTTTCAAGTCTATATTTTTATATTCTATGGTTCATTCCTATTTCCTCACTTTTTAAATTCTTCTAACCATTTTTTTAAATTCAGCTCTGATGAACATACACCAGTAGAGGATGAAGAGCCAAAGAAGAGTACCTCTTCAGCTTCTACTTCAGAAGGTATTTCTTAAATACAGAGCTTTTTCTATTGAGAAGTTAAAAAATAAGTTTCTTAGTAGTTGAATATTTTTGTTATTGCTGTGTACCATTGAGTCTCATGTTACCCATCATCTATTCTTTTTATTTCCCCCATCATTTATTCTTTTTCAATATTTAAGTTACTATAAAATTGACACTTGTGAATACCTCTTTGGTGGTTTCTTTTTATCTGTATCTTATATAGAAGAAAAAAAGAAAAAGAAGAAGTCTGGTCATTCAAAGGAAAGGTCGAAGAAAAGGAGAAAGAAAAAATCATCCAAAAGAAAACACAAGAAGTATTCAGACGACAGTGACACTGATTCTGACTCTGAAACAGACTCTAGTGGTGAGAATGTCAACATGATTCTACAAACCTTATTTTAAAACTAGTTTTACCTGTTAAAACTTAATTTATTTAGAGAAAAACTCTTTAAAGCAATAATGGCTAAGATTCTTAGAGCAGCTACTGACTTTATGCCAGGAACTATGCTAAATGCATCCTATTTGTCGTTACTATTAAATTCTTACAGTAATTCTAGTGTACATTTCATAGACGAGGCTATGGTGAATAGAATATCCAAGGCTTCTGGCAGTCAACCAAGTCAAGGATTGAGCTGCAAGTCATACTTCAGCCTAGTGGAAGGACTCAAGTTTTTCATTTTCATACCCAAAGGATACCTATCTGCCAATTTATAGGATGTACTCCTGGGGTATCAGATCACAAAAGCTCTTCTAACTGACCATTGACAATGTGATGCCTCTTCTGGCGTTGACACATTCATTACACAAAGTTTTCACTTATTTTGCTACTGCCTTGTATCCTATTGTCATTTCTCTTTCTCTGTATCACTGAAGGATTGAACTTCCTTAAATCTTAAATCTAAGCATGGCAGTCTCCTACTTCAGTTCCTTCAGTGGCTTTCTATGAACCCATGGGGATGATTATCACTCTCTAATCACATGTTCCATCACTGTCCTGTACCATCCTCTCTACCCTAGAACTATTTTCTGTATCCCATATTCTTTCTCTTGACGCTGTGACTTGGTACAGTGTCCCTCTGCCTACAGTCTCTCCCTTTGTCTGACATGGCTTATAAATTTCATGTATTACTTTTGTAATCAGATAAATTGTATTAAAAAACTAGCTTTAGAATCACTTTATCATACTCAACTTTTTCTCTCTCTCACCCTCTCCAAGTCAGTCTGCATGTGAGATTTCTCTAGGCACAGAGCACTTAATAGTTCCTTCAGAATTGTATTTATCTCTTCCCTCTCACCTCTATTAAATGGAGCTCCTGAAAAATATCCTGCCCCTCCCCAATACACACAAAATGTCTGTTTTGGGGGCTTCTAGGGGGAGGGACTCATTACAAAAACTATCGAACATTCAGAAAAGTAAAGAGAATGGTATAACTCAACCAATAAAAGGAAAACATGTCCATTGCCATCATGTCAGTTCTGACTCAGAGCGATCCTGTAGGACAAAGGACAAAGTAGAACTGTCCCTCTTAGGCTTTCCAAGGCTGTATTCTTTTTCTTTTTTAAATATTACAGATAATTATTTCTACTATTGTTGTTGAGAATATACACAGCAAAATATATACCAATTCAACAGTTTCTGCACTTACACATTGATTCCGTTCTTCAAGTTGTGCAATCACTTTTACCCTCCTTTTTAAAGTTGTTCCTCCTTCATTAACATAAACTTATTGACTCCTCAGTTTCCTATCTGTCGAGTCAATTTAATCTCATATAGATAGTTGTTAAAAGAGCATAATGCGCTCTTTGCCACATTTACTGCGAGAATGAAGACCAATCTCAGCAACTAGACTGTCAGCATTCCAAAGAATGTGATACTCTAAAGGTCTGCACAGGTGAGCTGTGGTGGCCTAGTGACAAGGTCTGCACAGTTATCGTTAAAGGCCTGCAGGGAACCTTGCTGAAGGACATCAATGTAGAGCACAGTCTCCTTGGAAAGAAAAGAAGATGCTTACATTAACAAGTGGTGGAAGATCAGAAAGGAACTGGCTACGGTTAACACCATCTATAGCCATGATCTAGGATGTTAACACTGGACATTTGTTATAAGATGAGGTCTGTGTATCCTCATTTCCCCAGCAACATCGTGATTCAGAAGAGTGACTCTCTGGTTGAAATTAGAAACTTCTTAAGTGAAAAATACATTTGGACTGAGCTGGATATAGCAAAAAGCATACCTATGTCTAAATACTAAGCTTGTATTCAGATGTTAGTTTTTGAGGATTCTAAATCTTGGCCAACTGACTGGAAGAGATATATATTTGTTCCCATTCCAAAGAAAGGTGCCCCAAGAGAGTGTGGAAATTATTGTACAATATCATTGATATCACATATAAGCAAGATTCTTCTGAAGAGTATTAAAAAAACGACTGGAACAGCACATCAACAGAGAACTGCCAGAAGTGCAGGCTGGGTTTAGAAGGGGTCATGGTGCTAGGGGTATTGTAGCTAATGTTAGATGGATCTTAGCTGAAAGCAGGGAATACCATAGGAATGTCTATCTGTGTTTCATTGATTATGCAAAGATGTTTGACTATGTGGATCACAACAAACTGTGCCTGACTCTGAGAAGAATGGGAATCCCAGAACATTTGATCGTGCTAATGCGAAACCTATACTTGGACTAGGAGACAGTCATCAGAACAGAGCAAGGAAACACTGCATGGTTCAAAATTTGGAAGGGTGTACACCAGGGATGTGTCCTATCTCCATACCTTTTCAACCTGTATGCAGAGCAGATTGTCCGAGAGGGTGGGCCCTAGGAGGAGACGCGTGGCATTAGGATTGGTGGAAGATCTGTTAACAATCTGCGTTATGCAGATGACACAATCCTGCTTGCTGAAACTGAGGAGGACCTGAAGCACTTGCTGCAGAGGGTCAAGGATTGCAGCCTTCAATATGGATTGAGGCTCAATATCAAGAAGACAAAAGATTCTCACCACTGGGCCAATTAGCAGCATCAGGATGGATGGTGAAGAGATTGAGATTGTTCACAGCTTTAGTTTGCTTGGCTCCACAGTCAACACTCTTGGCACCAGCTGCCAGGGAATTAAAAGACATATTGTGATGGGAAAGTCTGTTGTTAAGAACCTCTCCAGAGTATTGAAGAGCAACGGTGTCACTCTGGAGACTAAGGTGCACCTGATAAAGGCCATGGTCTTTGCAATCACTTGCTATGCATCAGAGAGCTGAACAGTGACTAGGGAGGATAGAAGGAGAATTGATGCCTTTGAGCTGTGGTGCTGGACTGCTAAGAAAACAGGTTCATCCTGGAGAAGGCTAAACCAGGCTGCTCCTTGGAGGCAAGGATTGTGAAGCTTTGTCTGACATACTTTGGACATGTTTGTTGCAAGGAGGAACCAGTCCTTGGAGAGGGACAGCACAGGAGGGGATTGATTCAGTGACTAGGGTAATTGGGGTGGGTGTGTCTGAGACAGTGAGATTGGCACAGGACAGAGCAGGGTTTAGGGCTATTGTACATAGGGTTGCTATGAGTTGCCAGCAACTTGACAGCACATAACAACAACAAAGCTTTTTGTTGTTGTCCACATAAGAATTAATCAAATATCAACACATTCATCATAGAGAGTCACTAAAATAAAGAAAGCAGAAAGTATTGGCATCCTAAAATGACATTGAAGTAAGTGACTAATATGGAGAAATAATAGGTGAGAAATAACTGAAGCCAATCAGCATTCAGCCTAATGGAAAGAAAATGTGACAGCTCTTATGTCCAGTAGCAGTATTGCACAGTATAGAAAAAGAAGCATGCTATCACCTCCAGAAATCTACCTCTATAGTGACAGAACAGTAGTGGAAGAAAGGTTCTCTTGAAGATGAATCTTTTATACAAGCCTCAGAGGAACTGTGGTGATATTGAGGGACAATGGAATAAAGCATCGTTCATTAAGTAAAAATTTATTAACATTAGCTAAAATAAAATTATTTTTACACTGAAAAGAAAAATACATTTGGAGGGTTCAGGATCGCAAGCCCAGAAAGATGAGTTAATTCTTGAAGGAAATGACATTGAACTTGTATCAAATTCAGCTACTTTGATTCAGCAAGCTACAACAGTTAAAAACAAGGATATAAAAGGTTTTTTCATTTTAAAAAATTTTTATTAATTTTGTGTGTGTGTGTATGTGTGTCTACCATCAAATCAGATCTGACTGGTACAGGAGATTGTCCCTCCTCCAGCAGAGCATCCGGTGAATTCAAACCTCATACCTCTGGGAATGCAGTGCAGCTTCTTGCCATTAGGCCACCAGAGCTCCCTTAGAAAAGAAGTTTGCATGATGTCTATGTTTTTGAAGAAGAAACTGTTCAGCAGGCAGATAGAGTAATATTTAGGAGTTTTTCAGCTACAGAAATGAGACTGGACAATGTGTGTGTGTGTGTGTGTGTGTGTGTGTGTGTGTGTGTGTGTCCCCATCTAATCAGATCCGACTGGCACAGGAGGAGATTGTCCCTCCTTCTCCATCTGGTGGATTAGAACTGTGCACCTTTGGAATTACAGCACAGCTTCTTGCCATTAGGTCACCAGAACTCCTTTAAGACACATTCTTACAATAAAATTCTGTCTATTCATTTGAGTTTATAAAATTCTTATTTATTCTTTATTAACTTTTTATTGTGATTTGAGTGAAAGTTTATAGAGTAAATTGGTTTTCTTTCAACCATTTTTTTTAAGAGCATAATGCTCAAGATGGAATTTTTTGGTTCAGTTAAGCTTAACTATTAAGATGACTTCAGGAGATATTTTCAGCTTAAGATTTAGAGGTTATCTCTGGGAAGTAGCATCAAGGGTTCATCCATCCTACACGGCTCCAGAAAGTCAGAATTGCATTAGAATTTGAAATCCTGTTCTGTAGCTGAGTATCATCCAGTTCTTCTGGTTTCATGGTAAAGGAGGCAGTTGTTCATGAATATAGTTCATGAATGCCACACATTCCATAACCTCTTTCTTCCTCTTTTCTGACTTTTATCCTTCATTTGTTTCTTCAGGACAGTAGAGACCAGTTGTGCCATGAATGGCCACTTGTCGTTATGTGCCATCGAGTCACTTGCGATTCATAGTGACCCTATGTACAACAGCCCTAAACCCTGCTCTATCCTGTGCCAATCTCATCTGATACACCTACTCCCATTACCCCAGTCACTGAATCGATCCATCTCATCGAGGATCATCCTCTCCTGCGCTGTCCCTCCACTCTCCCAATCATGATTTCCCTCTCCAAGGACTGGTCCCTCCTTGCAACATGTCCAAAGTATGTCAGAAGAAGCTTCAGGATCCTTGCCTCCAAGGAGCAGCCTGGCTTCAACTTCTCCAGGACAAACCTGTTTGTTCTCCTAGCAGTCCATGGTATATTCAGTACTCTTCTCCAGCACCACAGCGCAAAGGCATCACTTCTCTTTCTATCATCCCTAGTTATTTTCCAGCTCTCTGATGCATAGCAAGTAATTGCGAAGACTGTGGCCTTGATCAGGCGCACCTTAGTCTCCAGCCTGACATCGTTGCTCTGGTGATATCCCTGACAGCTGATTTTCCCAGTGCAATTCATCTCTTGATTTCCTGGCTGCTTGTACCAAGAGTGTTGACTTCAGAGCCAAGCAAACTAAAACTGTTAACTAACTCAATCTCTTCACCATCCATACTGATGCTGCTTTTATGACCTCACTGAATTAAAAGACTATACAGGAACACTAAACATGATTAGACAAATTAACTGACTATCCTATGAAACCATTACTCTTAAACTTCAAAACCAAGGAACCAAATCCCATGAGATATTTAATTGTATATAAGCATCCCCAGCAGCTACTTATTTCTCTCTGTGTGTGTGTGTGTGTGTGTGTGTGTGTGTGTGTGTGTGTGTTTCAAGAAAACTTTATTTACACATAGATTGTTCTTGTTGTTAGGTGTCGTCAAGTCATGTACTCTGTGAAAAACAGATCTGAATCCTAATCCTTATCATCCAGACACTGGATCAATCCATATTTTGGGATTGAGCATCTACCTCTCCTTCACTGAGCCTCCACCTTTCCAAGCATGATTTATTTCCAAGGAACAGCCTCTTCTAACACCATGCCCAAATTAGGTGAGACAGAGCTTCTCCATCCTCTCCTCAGAGAAGGATTCTGGTTCTACTATCTCTGACATATCTTTTCCAAACAAACATCTGTTTGTTCTTTTGGCTACCCATGACATATTCTGTACTCTTCTTTAGCACCACAACTCAAAGGCATCACTTCTTTTCGTGTAATCCTTGTTCGTTGTCCAGCTCTCAGATGCACAGCAAGTGATTGGAAAGACCTGACTTGAATGAGTTGCACTTTACTTTTTAAAAAAAAAAATTGTCATTGTACATGTATCTATCACATATCTTTTGCCAATTCAACCTTTTCTAGACATACAATTTATTGGCAACAATTTTAAAAATTGACTTTGTAACCCTACCCTTAATCCATGTGATTCCCCCATCACTTTTAACGTTCTTTCCCCATCCATACTGCCCTGGTAAACATTAATATCCTGCCCTGGTCTCTATACTTGCCTTTTCATATATGTGAGGTCATATAATAGTTGTCCTTTCATGATTGACTTATTTCATTTAGCGTAATGCCTTCAAATTCCACCCATATTGAAGCATGTTTCAAGGTTTCATTTCTCCAACTGGCTGAATAGTGTTCTATTGTATATATGTACCATATTTTATTTATCTATTCATCTATTGATGAGCATTTCGATTGTTTCCACTTTTTTGGCTATTGTGAACAGTTCTGCATGAACATTAGTATGAAAGTCCCTTTTTGAATCTCACCTTCAAGTCTTTTGTATATATACCTAGGAGTAGAATTAGTAGAAAATATGGTAGTTCTTTTTTTAGCTTTTTGAGGCATCATCAATTTCCCACAACAACTATACTATTTTGAGTTCCCACCAGATAAGGATTCCAATTTCCCCACATCCTCACCAGCATTTGTTGTTTTCTGTTTTTCACTTTTTTCTAATCTTAGCCATACTCCTGAGAGTGAAATGGTATCTAATTTTGGTTTGGTTTGCATCTGTCTAATAGCTGATGACTCTGAACTATTTATGTGTTTGCTGGCTTTTTTAATGTCTTCCTTGCTGAAATGTGCATTCCTCTCTTCCCTTTATTATAATTGGATTATTTGAATTTTTATGAGGCCTCATTTATTTATTTTGTCTTTTGTTGTTTGTGCTTTTGTTATTCTATTAAATAATCCATTGTTGAAAGCTAGGACTGATAGTATTGCCTCTGTTCTTCTAATAGTGTAACAGTTTTAGTATGCACATTAAGTCTTTAATCCATTTTTAATTTGTCTTTATGTATGATGTGAGACATGGATCTGTTTCATTTTTCTGCATATAGAAGTAAAATTTTCCCAACACTGTTTATTGAAGAGAATTTTCCTTCCCCAGCAAGTAGATTAAGCACCATTTTAAGAAAATCTATGTTGACCATAGATGTGTGAGTTTATTTCTGGACTCTCAATTCTATACCGTTGGTCTATGTGTATGTTGCTGTAGTAGTAGCAGGTTGTTTTGAATACTGTAGCTGTAGACTGGGTTTTACAATCAGAAATTATGCATCTTCCTTTTAATTTCTGTTTTAATATTATTTTAGCTTTTGAGGTCTCTTGCCATTCCATATAAAAGTAAATATTGGTTTTTCTATTTCTGTAAAGAAACCTGTTGAAATTTTAATTGCGATTACACTGAATCTATAGATTGTTTTGGATGGTATTGACATCTTAACAGCATTAACTTTTCCAATCCATTAACATAGAACATGTTTCCATTTATTTAAGACTTCTTTTATCTCTTCCAATGGTGTTTTATAGGTTATATTATAAAAGTATTTCATATCCATGGTTAGATTTATTCCTAGGTATTTTATTCTCTTAAATGCTGTGCTGGAGTGACCCATAATAAATTGCTCTGCTAACCCAAAAGTCAGTCATCTCTAGTGGTTCAAATTCACCAATGGACCCTAAGGAGAAAAATGAGTAGTCTCCTTTCATAAAGATTTACAGCCTCAGAAACCTAATAGAGAATTGCCTTGAGTCAGAACTTACTTAATGGGAATGGATTTTTATCATTATCTCATACAATGACAGTAATAATAAGAATACTCTATATATCATCTGATACCATGTATAACTTTAATTTCTATGTCTCCAGTGCCTAGCAAAGTCCTAGCAAATGGGAATAGATATTTGAATGAGTTAATCTCTCTTCAACAAGAAATGGGACAACAGGATAATTATATAAAGGGTGTTAGAGTTTAAAGTTTTTTTCAATTGTAATGTGTTTTAATTTGCAGATGAAGATACAAAAAGGAGAGCAAAGAAAACCAAGAAAAAGGAAAGGAAGAAGAAACGTAAATCGTTAGTGGTTTTTTTTATCATTTTTATTACAGAAATATACAAAAGTATATGTAGAATTACAAAACGTAGTATTATTGTTCTCCATATGACTATCAAATAATTTGAACAATTTTCAGTTTATAGACAGTTTCCTCCATCCCTAATTATTTTGAAACCAGTCCTAGTTATTACTTCATCTATAAACATTTCAGCATGTTTCTCTAAAAAAAGGCACTTTTCTTGTAAAATACATAACAATGACACTGTCATACCTTTAAAAAGTAACAATAATTCCTTAATTCTCATAGTTTTTTATAGTTCATTCAAATCTTAATTAAAATAGTTTCTATAAGTTACAGTTATTTGGTCTATCTCTTAGATATCTTTTCCCCCTTAGATATCTTTAGATCAAGTTCTTCTTCCCTTTTTGTTCTTAAAATGTATATATGTTGAGGGGAGCTCTGATGGCCTAGTGGCAAGAAACTGCACTGCAATCCCAGAGAAACACGGTTCGAATCCACCAGATGCTCTGCCGGAGAAGGAGGCGCAATATCCTCCTGTACCAGTCAGATCTGATTTGACGGTACACGCACACAAAATAATAAAAAATAATAAAAATTTTAAAAAAATGTATATGTTGAAGAAAGCAAATCACTTTCCCTAAAGAGTTTTTACTAGTATAGATTTTGCTGATTGCATGTATTAAATTTATCTTATTTTTGAGGTGTTAGGAAATACACAGCAGAATTTGATCAAGTAAACAGTTTTCTACATGTACAATTTAGTGACATTGATTATATTCTTCAAGTTTTATAACCATCTTCATACTCCCTTACTGAGTTGTTCCTCCTTCATGAACCGATTTATCCCAGACTTGCTATCTGATCTTTTCAAGTTGTTGTTATGTGATCTAATATAGATAATTCTTAAAAGAACACAATTTTCAAGGCAGGCATTCCATATCAGTTAAGCTAAAATTTTGTTTGGTTTAAATAAGACTTCTGGAGATATTTTTGGTTTAAAGTTTAAAGATTTTTCTCAAAGCCATAATTTTGAGGGGTTCATACAGCTTCCATGTCTCTACAAAGTCTGAATTTCACTAAAATGTGAAAATCTGTTCTGCATTTCCTCCCTTTTGCTCAGAATTCTTCTGCTGAATCTTTGATTAAAATGTTAAGTAATGACAGGGGGACACTATCCAGTTCTTCTGGTCTCATGACAAAAGATGCACTTGTTCATGGAGGCACTGATTACATTCTTAAGATATTCTTTAATATGTTCTTATGGATTTCCTATAGATTGAAAATGCCTAAGCAGTGTGCCACCAGAGCTCTTTGACATATTGCATAATTCTGTTTCCATGGAATCTTAAAAGTATCTATAGAGAAAGGAAGTAGATTCATGGTGGCCTAGGACTGAGAAGGGAGGGAGGAGACTTGGCTAAGTTCAGATTCAAAGTTGAAATGTTCAAGAAATACTTCTTAGGTAGTAATGTATATTTTCATTAAGGAAGCAGATAATGTAATGCATGATTGTGCCCTTTTGTCATATTAACAACCATTAATAGTTACTGCCCAGATTCATCATTTCATTAATAGCAGTTATTCCATCTTCCCCTCTTCAGTTATGTGGTGAATAGAATTAGTCTATAAATCAACAGACTACTTGTTATAGTAGTTATTGAAAGGTCCAAACCCACTGCAATGTCCAGAAGCAACACGAGCCAAGTATATAACAAATATGCTTTATTTCAAATGCCCTCTTTGTTGAAAGCAATGTCAACCCCTAACTAAGAGAGGAGTGGGGTATTTTGGCTAATTGGGGTACTCACAGAAGTTTCCAGTGCTTCCACTACACCTGATCTTAACTGTTAACTATATCCTGGAGTGGGTGATAACCCATGTCTGGGAGTATACAGATGTCAACTATACATTAAGCAGGTTATTTACTATTTCTTGGATCAATTTGCACCTATTTGGATAGGGTCAGTAAGTCAGCAAAATGGAGTCATTTTGGCATCAATCTTACTGTACTGTTTAGTATAGTTTGTATAGAAAAGGCTAGAAAATTACTTCATTTTTTTGTTTTGTGAGTTTTCAAAATAATAAGTTGATTTTTCTAGCATTCTCTAAAGATAACAAATAGGGTATATATTTTTAGTATCATTGGGAGATAGGTGAAGAAGGGAGTGGGTAGAAGTGGGGGGGTATCGATGGTGGAGCAAAGAAATAAGTGGGTCAGGGCACTTGAGCCAAGGGCAGGGACAACTCTGAAACTAATGGTTAATTCCACAATAAGGGATATATTTTCACTTTTTCTGTAAAATGCTTATCTGTTGGATACTTCTCTAGATCTGAACTTTCAGACTGACGTACACCAGTAGGAAGGATTGGCCATCCACTTCCAAAATAGCAGGCCTCTGAAAACCCTATGTACAACAGGACACGCATAGAATGACAGAAAGGGCAACTGAGTATGAAAATACAAAGGAAGAGGAACAGTTGTAAGCAGACACTAGTGATTGGAACACGGAATGTGAGAACCATAAATGTGGGAAAATTAGATATTGTTAAGGAGGAAATATTGACATACTAGGCATTGGTGAGATGAGAGACCACCTGAGTGCCGCTGGGGGCAGGCTGCAACCCCGAAGCCCTCAACAGCTCCAGGAGTGCTGCACTGCATGTTGCAGTGCAGAGGGGCTTCCTGGAGGTGGTGTGGGTCCTGTGCGAGCGTGGCTGCAACGTCAACTTACCTGATTCCCATGCCAACACACCACTGTGCCATCTCAGCAGGCATTGGCACCAGAGGCATTGTTAAGATCCAGGCATTGATGTGACTGGCACCAACAGCCAAGGTTTCACGCTGTTGCACCATGCCTCACTCAAGTGCCACGTGCTAGCTGTCTAGAAGATTCTGGCTCAGGCTTGGCATCTGGTGGACGCCAGGAAGGAAGACAACTTCACAGCACTGCAGCTGGCTGCCCTCAACAACCTCGGAGACGTGGCCCAGATCCTCACTCGAGAGGACCGCTGTGAACCTGAACAACCAGAAGCTCCAGTCCACATGGCATCTGGCTGTGCAGCGGGCCCACGTGGGACCGGGGCTGCTGCTGGTGGATGCTAGCTGCAGTGTCAACACTGAGGATGAGGATGGGGACACTGTGATGGGGCTGTGTGTGAGGGGACCCAGGACCCTTGCAGCTGCTGTCCAGGTTGCAGTCCTCAAGCCTCCCAGGCAGCGTGGAGCAGACCATGGACTTGGCAATCGCTTGCTTCCTGGCTTTGGAAAGGGCCAACGTGAGCTATGCCAGCCACTGCGGCCGGAGCCCTTTAGACCTGGCCACTGAGGGGCATGTGCTCAAGGCCCTACAGGGCTGTGCCCAGCGCTTCCGGTAGTGGCAGGCAGCAGAGGGCTATGGCAGTGTGGGCACTGCGGTTTTGCACCATGTGCTCAGCACCCCCAACACAGTGACCAACCTGTATGTGGCAGCAGCAGGGCCTGAGGCTGCCGAGGGCCTGGTGAGCTCCAAGCTAGCATTGCTGGTGCTCTTCTGTCAGCACTGCATTATGTGCTAGGAGTGCGCCCGCCAGATGGAGAAATGCATCAGGTACCAGGTGGTGATCAGCAAGAAGCTGTTCCCGGCCCTCCATGACAGCTGGTGGAGAAGTTGCGGAGCCACTACAGGCAGATAGAAGAGCGCATCACCTGTCCCATCTGCATCTACAATCACTTCCACCTCGTGTTCCAGTGTGGCCATGGCGCATGAACGCCCTGCGGTACCACACTCGGCGCCTGCCCCATCTGTCACCAACCTGTGCGCGACCACATCCAGATCTTTGTGTGAGCCGGTCGCGCCCGGTACCCCCACCCCTAGCCCCATGTTTTATGAAAGTATCCACGCACAAAAAAAAAAATTATGCCCTTTAATGTGAAATTATTGAATCCATCTGTATAAAATTATAATCTCCACAGGAAGAAATACAAGAAAAAGAAGCCTAAAAAGAATAGAAAAGAAAGCAGTGAGTCAAGTTCTAAAGAATCCCAAGAAGAGTTTCTGGAGAATCCCTGGAAGGAACGACTAAGTAAGTTCTCCTGATAGTCTGACTTAGAGCAGATGAAACATTAAATTAACCAGTCATCCTGTAAATTATTTCTGAACATCTTTTGTGCAGAGCCTGAGGAACCCTCAGATTTAATTGGTCCAGAGGCTCCAAAGACACTTGCCTCTCAAGATGATAAGCCACTGAAGTAAGTAGCAATGTATTTACAGTACCTTCCAAAGAGTATGACTCCAACCTACCTTGCCAAATTTATTTCCCTCTGCTCTCTTATTCATACCCGCAACTCCGACTGAGCTGGACTACTGCAAGTTCCTTCTATTTACTCTGGACTTTCTCAACAGCCTTCCTGCCTCTTCTCTTCTCTGTCCTCCTTTTCCTTCCTTACCCTTATTTTCTTCCTGTGAAAAATCTTATTATCCTCAAAGCCCTTCTTAAGAAGAGAGAGTATATGTCATTCCATTACCTCTCCCCTACAGTTAGATATTATTTCTGCCTCTCTTTAATTCTCATATTTTCTACTCTTCTATAAAATACATATTCTACCTTATGCTATAGTTATATCCTTCTTAACCTATAAAATCCACAAGGGCAGAGATTATCTTTGTATTACAAGCTTTGAATTTAATAAAACCAAACCCACTACCATGGAGTAGATTCCAACTCATGATGCCTCTCCATCAGGTTTTCTGAGGTTGTAAATCTTTTCAGGAAGAGACTGCTCATCTCTCTCCCATGGAGCACTTAGCAGATTCAAACCGCTGACCTTTTGGTTAGCACTATGCCACCAGGGCTCCTTTTGAGTTTAACAAGTAATCACAAAATACTTAAATAAATGATGGGACGGTTGCTTTTAAAGGCCCACTGGATTAAAGTAAATAGATGATTGTTACAATATAGAATTATTATCGATTATAAGTCTAAATAATGTACTACTAATTTGAGATGTTGTATTTACCCTTTTCTTAAGGGAAAAGGGCATTAGCTGGAGAAAGAAGCAGTAAAAGTGGTACCTTTACAGATAGACTAATCCATAATTATAAACTATGTATCTATACTCATTAACATAAAGTCATTTATTCTTTCAAACTTTGTCTACTTTTCTTGTTTAGTTACTCCAGTTCAGTGTTCACTAATTTTAAAAAATAATTCACATTGGGCCTTTTAGCATACCATTGTTCAACACTGCTAGCTAGCCTTACTAATTTCTTAGAGGAAAAAGTCTTTTTGTGCCCCCTTTAAAGGATATCTTTGTTTTAAAATTACTTAATGGATATTTTCTGATTATTCAATACTTTGCAGCTATGGTCATGCTCTGTTACCTGGTGAAGGTGCAGCCATGGCTGAATATGTGAAAGCTGGAAAACGTATTCCAAGAAGAGGTGAAATTGGCTTGACAAGTGAAGAAATTGCATCATTTGAATGTTCAGGTTATGTAATGAGTGGTAGCAGGTAAGTTGTTGGCATTGAGGTAGTTTTCCATAATTCAGTATCTTCATTTTATCTTACTACTAGAATTATAGTTTGGTGATTGGTTTTCGTTAACTGACCATTTCTAATGAAAAGTACAGCACACATAGTGTTTAATATTGGCATTATTGGTATAAATGTGGCTGTCTGAAATTTTAAGTCTATATGCAACGCAGATTCAAATTCATCTTTGTTCCATTGTCACAGGGCCGGGGTCAGTCCAGTGTCTGTTCCTAGTAGATATTTTTCTTGTCACAGAGTCAATCTTTCCCATGTCCATTCCTAGTTTATATTTTTATACAGGTATTTTAATCCACTTGAGGCTATTGCTAAATTCAGCTGTTTATCACTGCTCCATGAAAAATAAGGCTTTTTGGAAAAGTATCTTCTTAAGACACTGTTTGCCAGTTCATGAATTTGACTCCAGTTCTCTGTAAACTTGGGGCTTCTTAGAATGAATAGCAGAAAAGGATTACAACAGACATCAGGCTCAGCATGGGAGAGTGAATCTAAAAAGTAGGAACAAGAAAGCAGAGTGTTGCAAAGAACCAGGAGAGTGAGCAGTGAATATTGGATTTTTTAAAAACTTAATATATTTTTTTAAAGTAGGTAAATATTTTTAAATTAAATTGGAGGCAAATTTCTACAGAACTACTGATGTTCCTCTAGAATCTTGGAACCAGCATTTGAAAACATTATGTTTTCAAATATATAGGTTTATATATAATATATGGGCCATATAGTGAGAAAAGACAAGAAACAAAAACAACTGTGAGGTATCATCTCACCCCAATAAGAATAGAAAAATTCAACAGAGCAGCAAACATCAAATGCTGGCGAGGTTGTGGAGAAACTAGAACCCTTATTCACTGTTGGTGGGACTGTAAAATGGTGCAACCACTATGGAAGGCAATATGGCACTTTCTCAAAAAGTTGCAAATAGAGACACCATTTGACCCAGCAATTCCAATACTGAAAATATACCTCAAAGAAACCATAACCACCACCAAAGCAGATATATGCACACCCTTGTTTATTGCTGCTTTATTCACAATAGCAAAGAGTTGGAAATAACCCAAGAGAGAAGCTGGGTATATTCACACAATGGGATACCATGTTGCATTGAAAAACAAGGAACTAATGAAATATTATTCAAAATAGGTGAACCTGAAGGACACTATACTGAGTGAAATAGTCACACAAGGACAAATATTGCATAGGGCCACTGTTATCAAACAGTACTGACATCAGGATTGAGGGGAGACTGAGAAAGAGGGGACAAGTGATGTATACTGCATTGAAACAGATGAGGGAGAGAACTGTTTAAAAACGATATATGATTAGGTATTATTATCATGACAGGAGTCCAGAATGAAGGCTGCATAGTGGAGTGGACTTGGGGGGAGAGATTGTATAACAATGAAAGAATTTGTCATTTACTTTTCAAAGAGAAGAACAAACTGGAGTGGAGGGGTGGGCAGGGAGAAAAGTGCAGCAATGAATGAATAAAAATCCAAAGTGTCTGTAAATGTTCATTAAAATTAATAATAAAGAAAGAAAAGAAATTAGAGGCATAAGGGCTGGAAAGGAGGAAATAAGACTGTCATTCCTCCCCCCCCACCATGAAATGTATTGTTTATTTTCTGTCCATCTAAGTTCCACTTTTTAAAAGACTGAAAAGACGGTTTAAGACCACTCAGTGGTTGTCCCAGACCACTCAGTGGCCTGAGCATTGGGGGCTGCAGACCAGTATTCAGTTGCAGGCTGAGCACTCCAGTCTTCAGTAGGGAGCTTCTAAATAGGAACAGAGGACAGCTGGACGTCTTCAGACCATTCTGCAACTTCAGGCTGAGCAGCAGTAAATTCAGAATCATGGGCACTGTCATTCTTTATGAATGATATATTAACATTGAAACCCTAAGTATCTTTAGGTGTATTATAAGTAATAAGAGGGTTAACAGATGGCTTGATATAAAGTTAATACACAAAAATAGATTCTTTTCTTTAAATCAGCCACAAACAACTAAAAACCATATACTTCAATAAAAAGATAATAGCATTTGTAAGAGTATCAGAATAGTAAGTATTTAGGAATAAATCTTAACAGAAGTTCCTGATACTTCCACTGGGAAATTATTAAACATGATTACGAAGTATTAAGACTTAAATAAATGGAGAGATAATCAAATTTGTAAATAAGATATTGAGCAAAGTTGTCAGTTATTCCCAAATTTATTCATAAATTCAGTGCTGTTTCAATCTAAAACACAGCAGAGATTTTGTGGAACTTAATAAGCTAGTTCTCAAATTTAAGTTACAAACCCAAGAATTAAGAAAACTTGTAATAACAGGAAGGTGAAATTTCCCCTACCAGATATGAGAACTTACTACTGTGAAGCTTTCGAAAGTGCCAGGGGAAATGGTTCAGTTGATTGAAATAAACAGCCCTGGGACAGAGCTGCTGTACATGTATGAAACTTTGGTATAGAAAAGAGATGGCATGTCACATCAGTGGAGAAAGAAGAAAATGTTAAATGAGTGGAAAAAAAATTGTTTCCCACATGGGAAAAGATGAAAATAGAACCCTATACCACACCATATCTAAAAATCAGTGCAGCAAAATCAGAATTAATTGTAAAAAAGAACTAACCTTCTAGTGTAAACCTTGGAGTGGAAAGTCTTTCTTAAAGAAAGCATATAATGTGTTGGCCCCAGAATAACAAGCTGATAAATTTGCCTAGATTGAAAATAAGGACATGTGTTCATCAAAGGCACCATAAAGAAAGTAAAAAAAAAAAAAAAAAAAAGGTTATAAACTTGAATAGGATTTAATGATCATAACACTGATAGAGTTAGTACTGAGAATATTTAAAGAATACCTATGTTGTTATTGTTGTTGATTGCTGTCAAGAATGACTCATAGCGACTCCATAAACAAAAGACCTAATGCCTTTCCATAACTATCATTGTTTCTCCAAGTTCGTAGTTCCCAGAGGCATGTGGTTTAGGAAGTGGATGTCACTCCTGCTTCCAAACCTGTTTTACAACTGGGAGCTCGAACAGACACTGTCCACATTGGGAAACCATTATGGCATTTCACACCCCAGTGGCACAAAGTTCACTGTTACAGCAAACCCAGATTACCTCAGTACAGCAAATTGGCAAAGAGTGATGTAAAAAGTAGAAGAATGTTCCTCCAAAATATAACACTTGTCTCACTTATTAGTGGTTAAGTGTCGTCAGGTCAAGTATGACTATAGCGACCCTATGAAAAAAAGACCTGAACTCTATTATAAGTTGCCAGAGGCATCTGGTTTAGGAAGTGGATGCCACTCCTGCTTCCAAACCTGAAAAAAATCAGCATCACAGCAACTCCACTTTATTCAGTACAGCAAATAGACAGACTGCTAAAAAAACAAAAATTGGGAAAATGACACAGATGGGCATTTTGTGGCAAACATGATAAAAATATAAATATTGTATGTATATAAATATATATTTCATATCATTAGGAATGGAAATTAAAACCATCCTGAAATACTGTTTTACACGCATTTGCTAGACAAAGGTTTAAAATCCCAACATTTGAGAGGATCTCTTAAATGTTACTAGTGCTGATGTGAATTGGTGCAACTGCTTTGACAAACAGCTTGACCTTATCTTGTACAGTTGAGCATTCATATGCTTTAAGACTCAAATTCATTGCCAGTGAGTCAGAACCAACTCATAGTTTGCGCTCCACTGGGTTTCTGGGGCTATAAATTGCACAGGAGTAAATCACCTATCTTTCTAGCTGAGCCACTAGTGGATCAAAACCACCAGAGAAGCATTACCTTTGGGTTTAACAACTCATCTCCCAATGGACTAGGCCATCAGAGCAACCTCATAACTGCATACCTAAATACTGAAGAGAGAGTCTCTTCCATTCACTAGGAGACACTTACATGGATGCTTATTACTGTACTGTTCACATGGCTCTCATTTCGCTGCTTCTTCCTGTCAGTCCTGTACCTCCATACCAACCTGACAAAATTCTCCCCTCTTCCCCTTACCCAATTTCTCTCCAATTTTCTAAACTTAGCATAAGCCTCGTCTTGAGCTAATGATGTGTAGGATTCATTACAGATACGTAAAAAAAACAAGTCTTCATATAACTTTCCCGCTACATGAATAGACCTTTTGAAAATGATGTCATAGCTTCTCTTTGCCTATGTCCCTGCACTTACCTGATAAAGCCATTGTGCTAAATCCCTTTTTCTTTTCTTTGAGCCACAACCAGATTCTAAGAACGTTAGATCCAGTTACAAAAACTTCAGTTATAGATTTAGACTTGCTTTTTAGATTGTATGGTAAAAGTTCCACCTCATTGGTGACAGATTAAATAGTTCCTATTGTCAGTCTTGGAATCTTTTTGTTTGGTTTTATTTTTTATATATTCATTGTTGCACATTTTCTCCCCTTCCTCCTTCCCTGGCCCCAGCCAACCCCACAATACACCCCTTGTTCCAGACTGTTGTCATATATAGAATGCCTAGTCGTGTGTTAGTTTCAGACAATTCTTCCCTTCATCTGTTCTAATGCAGTGTTCATTATACATCTATGCCAGTCTTATAGCTGATAGTAAGAAATGGATATATTACCCAGGAAGTTTTATAGTTTGTTCATTTCTCATGGTTTTACTGAAAGTAGCCAAAACTAGACTTAGGCCCAAAGTATTTCAAGTTAATGGTAATAGTCACTATGCTGACAGAGCATCAAAGGTTATTTTCTTCGAACACTAGAAATTAATCAAATCAGTAGATAAAAATGAATGGTCATTTGCTAATTTCAAAACCAGTTTCTATCTGTCAATTTTTTAACTCAACTACTCTATATTAAGAAAGGATTAGTGAGAAAGTCCTATGAGAGTGATTACTGAAAAATTAAGCCAAAATTAAATATCCCTAGGCATCGTCGAATGGAGGCCGTCCGACTGCGAAAAGAGAACCAGATCTATAGTGCTGATGAAAAGAGAGCCCTCGCGTCCTTTAACCAAGAAGAGAGAAGAAAAAGAGAGAACAAGATTCTGGCCAGTTTTCGAGAGATGGTGTACAGAAAGACCAAAGGAAAAGATGACAAATAAGGATTTTTCTGATCATCCAGTGGACATTTTTAACAAGAAAAACCCAAGTTTGTGTTCCACACATAAGTACAAAAAAGCTTCTTATGATCTGAAAGAGCTTTACAGTTATACTGTGCCTTCTAGTTCATTCTTTCAGTTCTTTGATAAAAAGCTGCTTATTGATAAAACTTTAACAAGTTCTTTGGGTTATTTCTGATTGGAAAATCCAAAATGTGGGTGGGATCCTGCTGTATTGGGGGAGGTGCCATGGAGAGAAACTAAAACTCACATTATGAGATAATTGTAACTGTTTTCTATACATGACACCTGCCTTACTGCCTGGCCCCAACTGAACTTGTGAGAAAATCTCATTCGTCTGCTTTGAGTGTGTTATAAGTGGACTTTTGTTAACTATCATTAACAAAATGAAGGCATTGCTGAAAAAAAGCAAATCTGGAATTAGAAAATTGACCTTTATCATTTTCTGTAAAAGTTATGTATTTTGTTTTCATCCCTACCTCCACCACTAAACCAACCAACAACCAAAAAAAAAAAAGAGGGCAACTAGCCTACAGACTTATTGAATTCACAAATGTGAACATAAATTTTCAAAAACAATAAGTTACTACTTAAAAATAGTTCTTTTTAAAACAAACAACCCCAGTTCTTTCAAAGAGCAAATATTGTAAAGTCTGCTGTTGTGCCAGTCTAAGTACACTATTTCAGACTAAGCTGTGTGGTGCTGATAACATCTCAAAGGAATGGGAGTCAGCTATGGTCAAGAGTTTTTTGGGGAAAAAATATAATGAACCAGTATTTTTACTTAGTTGTTCCATAATGTTGAAGTTAAAATGATATTAAAACATTTAAGTCTGAACTTTATATAAATAAATGGATTTAATTTTTAAAACTGTTAAACCATTCTGTTTATTTTTTTAAATATGTCATTCAGTTTATTTTCTCATTTTGTGTAGAACCCCCTCACTTTATCACTCTTTTTATGGGGGGAAAAAAGATTGTAAGATGATAAAACCATAAATTTTTTTTGCATTTTATTTAGATCAACAAGAGAAGAGCGAGGAAGCAGTGGCAGTTTTGACTATTTTGAGGCTATGTTATTATTATTATTTTTGTGTCGTTGTTGTGTACCATCGAGTCAGAACTGATTCATAGCTGACCTTCCTGTGGATTTTCAAAGGCAGTTGTTCACACAGGAGATTGTCCATCCTTCTCCCCTGGAGCAGCTGGGGGTCTTGCGAGTAGGCCACCAGAGCTCCCTAAAACACATTTCAATTACATGGATAATGAGAATGTTCTGACTATGCTGTAACAAAACACCCTCTCTCCTTATAAGAAGTTAAAGTACTTTTTTCAGAGTTCTTAAAAAGGTAGTCACATTTCAAAGTATAGATTAAAAGTCTTACTTTTCGGGATATATTGGAAGATGTCTACCTTTAATCCATAGTTTATTTACTAAACAGCCAGTCGACATGAAGCAGCATGTACCTCTGAATGATGCCACGTGATTTTGTTATCTATAACTACTTATAGTTACAACATAGACTAATAAATCCATAGTTTCTAAAACTGAAACAGAAACTAGGTCTCAAACTTACGAGTCTTAAGCCATCTATTTCCCTGTATGATAAAACCAACCTTTTATAGTCCCCACTTAAAAATTTTATCCTTTATATTTTTTTTTTCTTACTGATTTCCAGAGACTGAATTAGCCTGTACTCTTTTTTTTTTTTTCCCAGTAGGCCAGGTAGTTCAAATGCAAAGATTCTATGGTATGTGAATATTATGAATTGTTATTTTAGTCTCCTATTTGTCTTCTTTTTTTAGTGGATACTCAGCATATACACTTACTGAGGAAATGAAAGAAAAAAAATAAGAATTTCTTTCAGAACTTTGTCATGTCTTTCATCAGGGCATGTTAGTGAAAGATCTGCCAAAAAACTGCTTTGGTGTCATATTCTTTGGCGAAGAAGTGGAAAGACTTTACTGCTTTGCAACGTGTGTTTAGTCAGAATCATATGTCAAATAGTAGGGCTATTGTATTTGAAGTATGTATGTATGGTTTTTTTGTTCTTCCAAGGAGAATTCTCTTGTTTCCCACTGTCTTATCTATCTGTTGCTTTCATAGGATTTTCCCCTCCTATTTCATATTTATTGTACAAATATAAGTTTGGGGGGAGGGGAAAGAAAAAAAATCACCCACAGGCCTACTTGCCTAACATATCAAATTCTTTTTAGGGTTCTTTCTGTGCTTGTCTATATAAATGTGTATTCTGATGTATTTGTAAGTAATCAATCATTCATAGTATAATGTAATTTTGTCTTTGATGTTTTATAATTTTACACCCAGGCAAGACACCCTCATAGGAATGTCAGGAACAAGTGATGATCATGTATGGGGATGGGAAGAAAGCAAGAAATAAGTAAGGTTAGTGACTATATCTGTCCCTGTCTCCTTGTCCCCTTAGCCACACTGCTGTCATCACAGTTGTGATGGTATATTATGGAAGGCAGTGTGCTCAGTTCCAAAATTTCAAAATGTATTGCTTGGCGTGAGGCTTACCTGACCATAAATAAAGGGGCCTGGGTCTATGGAGACCCATTTGATTCTTTCATAAGCTATAGAAGAGTTGCCATTTTGCTGTTCCACAGTTATGGTCATAAAGAAGTATATTTGGGCTGAAGACCTAGGTCCAGGTGGGAGAATAAAAGCCAAGAAGCAATCTTAGTCCAATGGTTAAATTTTACTAAGTCTTTAAACTTAGCTTCTGGACCTGTGAGACCCTGAAGTAATACATCAAGTGATGGGGAAAAGCTTTTTAAACAATAGTGGTTACTCTGCCAATGTGATGGAGGTTGCAGAATGGAAAATTAATTCATGAATACAAACAAAACAACAAAATAAGCTGGACGGTGTGTGCCACACGTTTTTTATTCAATAAATGTTCTGTGGTTTGATGTGCAGTATGGTTTTTTTAATATTTTCTGACTGGAAATTCAGTCCCGAAACATTCCATTAACACAGTAGGGCACAATTGAATCAGATGCACAATGAATCCAATAAACTATATTTGCACTGAACAATGTCCCTCAGCCATTTTTCTTGAAAGCGAGACATTCCTGGTCTGCAGAAGAATAAAAACAAAGACACTGAAATTTTTTAGAGTCAAACAAAAAATATTGAGCCAAAGATTCTCTGTTGATTCTAAGTGACCAAAAAAATTTTTTCTCTGGGTGAGGGATTCTTTCTCTCCCTTACCGTTCCTTAGGCTTAAGCTGTGAAAGTGCTATATGGAAAGACAGCTGAATGGAACTCATTATACATGAGTTATACGATTTTGAAGCTTCTCATGACCATGACTGATTTCCCCACCACCAGCCTCTTTCAGTAACAAATCTCCAGATTTCTAAACACTGAAAAAAAACACATTAAGAAAAACTTTTTTCTAGAACAATGGCAGGATCCTACCTTCGCTTTTTCTAATGAGATAATAGTCCAAAGGAGAATAAATGTAACCATTGTTTGAGTTATCTGTGCCTGTTGGCATCCCTATAGATTCCTGGAGCGTGGTGACCCCTCCCATTACCTTTTGAAATAAGTCTCCAAATGTTCATTACCTGTGAACTAATGACTGGCTCTCGAAAATGTAAAAGACATCAACAGGTATATCCTATGAGAGAAAAGGACAGCTGTCAGCCTAACCCAGTCATGCCAACTCAATTCCTCCATCCCTATTCTTTTTTTTTTAATTTAGTTTGCTTATTTTTCATTTCAATGAACATCTACAGAGATTTTGGAATTCCATTCATTCACTGTTGCACCCTTCTCCCCGCACAAACCCCTCCCCCACCCCGTTTGCTCCTCTCCCTGAAAAGCAAAAGAAAAACTCCCTCATTGGTACACAATCCCCCCCGCACCTCCCCAAACCCCACCCCCAACCCCGAATATTATCCACTCTGCAACCCTCATTGCGTACTCCTACGATAAAAATAATGCCCTAAAATATAATACTTTTAGACTATTCTCTCCCCCATAGACTTCAATGCCATAAACATATTTCATCCAGTTTTTCTCAGTCTTACCCCCACCCCAATGCCAGCCTCATTCTACAACAGTGGCACCATATAGCATTTGTCCCTTTGTGACTGAGATACCTCACTCAGCATAATGTCCTCCAGGGTCACCCATTTTGAATAATATTGCATGAGTTCCTTGTTCTTCAATGCAGCATAGAATTCCATTGTGCGAATATACCACAGCTTCTCTACCCATTCGTTTGTTGATGGGCATTTAGGTTGTTTCCAACTCCTTGCTATTGTAAACAAAGCCGCATCCATCCCTATTCTTGTTCATCCCTATCTATGCTCTTGAATTTCTAGATTTCGTCCTCCTGCTGAGTCAGGCTAATTCATTGTCACATTAAATCTCTGTCCCCCACAAGAGCTTTCTGGCAACAAATACCTTAAGAATCTCCACAAAATTAGAGCCAAGTCTGAGGAGAGGCTTGTAGAGATGTGCTCCTCAGAAATAGCTTGAACAAGTCATTTACCTTCTTTCCATGCTCCAGCTTACTCAAGAGACAGTATTTACGTTATCTCTTAGGGATGGCCTGAGAATGACACTATATAGATGAACATGGTTTGCAAACAATTTTAAAGCATTGTAGCATTGTCTTGTAATATTGTCACTCACTCATTGTCATCAAGTCGGAACCAACTCATACATAGCTGAACCTCCGGTGAGCTTTCAGAGGCAGTAAATCGCATGGGAGAAAATTTCCCCTTTTTCTCCCTAGGAGCAGTTGTTGGGTTCAAAACTCCTGCCTTTGGGTTGGCAATGCAATTCTTAACCCACCAGGCCACCGGAGTTTCCATGTAATATTGTAGCACCTTATAATATCGTCTCAATGATAGCCACACATTCTCCCCTCCAAAATGATACTAGAACTTTTGAATTATCCCCATTCTCTGAAACCCTCTCTCTGAATGGCCTCTTACTCCCCTCCACCAGCCTTACCCCCGATCTCACCTTAGTAATTAGAAAAACAGCAATCTGCCAAGAAGAAGTATGAACTCGCTTATAGTCACACTCATTCATTACCCTCAGGTTGGAACCAACTCATATTTGACCTTCCAGCAGGTTTTCAGAGGCTTGATGGGAGGAGATTGCCCATCT